CAGGTTAGTATTACAGAACAGTGATTACATTGGTTACAGGTTAGTATTACATAACAATGATTACATTGGTTACAGGTTAGTATTACAGAACAGTGATTACATTGGTTACAGGTTAGTATTACACAGCAGGCATTACATTGGTTACAAGTTAGTATTACATAATAGTGATTACATTGGTTACACGTTAGTATTACATAATAGTGATTACATTGGTTACAGGTTAGTATTACACAATAGTGATTACATTGGTTACACGATAGTATTACATAACAGTGATTACATTGGTTACAGGTTAGTATTACACAATAGTGATTACATTGGTTACAAGTTAGTATTACATAACAGTGATTACACTGGTTACAGGTTAGTATTACATATATCTGGTGTTCCTTTAAAAAGTTTAAGTATAGGGTGGAACAGGAATTACCAGTCAATAATAGATGAACATTAGATGACTGTAACATGTAGACACTCAATGTTTTGTACACTGTACAATCGATATCTTTAAGGAGCGAAGAAGTGAAGGAATAAAAAAATCAATACACATAGTATTAAATTTTATCACACACATTCATAGAATAATGACTTTAAAAGAAAGGTTTATTTAAAGCGATGTTTTAGACGTATATATGTTTTTTTTTGTAAAGATGCTTTCTTTTCTACTCTTAAAATTGTATACCTGCTTGTTGGGGGTTGTCTCGTAGTCTAGGCATATATTTGCTCACTGCTATGCATTTTATAGAGATAATTTAGTTACACAGAAACTATAAATGAACCGTATCTACTAGTTACTAGATATGTTTATTATCATTACAATTTGTAAAGCAGCTACCATATCAAGTAATCCCATAGTTGAGCATCAAAAAGCCAGCAAACTCTACCAAATGTAATTCTAGATAACAGCATGGAGCCTAAATTGGGGTTTATAGTTTAAGTAAATAATGTATCTCCAGCCTTGTTCCTTACTTTTTTTACGATCCCTATTTGCAGGTTTTAAAATTTCAATTTTTTTTATTATCTTGTTTTTTTTATTATTTTGAAGATAAGGATTTGGAAGTGAAAATAATTACAGAAGTTTGTATATATATTTTAGGATTTTTGTGGTAAGGCCTAGTATTTGAGAAAACATAGGTAAGACACGAGCTGAAAAAATTTATGCTGCTTCTTCGCTTTTGAGGTTGTTAGAACTAAGATTCTGTAAAAGTTAGTAGAAAGACATCAAGAATTTGTTGTATTTTGTTATTATTGTAGGTCTTGACTATGCTTGAAGTACCTTTTCCTTTGAACTTCTTGCTCATATTGTTTTCATCAGGCATCGAGTCTTTTAAAGGGACAGAGTTGGGGAAGGCTAACTCGGAAAAGGTTGTCACCCATGGAAATTTTTTGTGGCCTGACTGTGATGGAGTATGTGGTCATAAGACAGAGATTAGTTGCCCACAACAGCCTGCAGAGGGCAGTTCTGATATGGATATTAATGTTAATTGCTTTATTCTCATGTTAGATGTTTTCATTAAACAGGTAATTTTTCAAACAGCATGAGTATTGTCACAAAATATAAGTTGTTAGCTTCAAATACTGTTTAATTTGTAACACTAATTGCTATCCTTAAGTACTATTGTAACACTAGTTGTTAGCTTCAAGTACCATTGTAACACTGTTAGATTCAAGTATCATTGTAACACTAGTTGTTAGCTTCAAGTACTGTTGTAACACTAATTGTTACCTTCATGTACTGTTGTAACACCAGGTGTTACCTTCATGTACTGTTGTAACACCAATTGTTAGCTTCAAGTGCTGTTGTAACACTAATTGTTACCTTCATGTACTGTTGTAACACTAAAACAGTACATGAAGGTAACAACAGTTGTCCAGTTGATCCACATACAAATTGCTGATGTATTCCAGTTCAGGGTAAGATAACATCTTCTGACTGCTATCCTGAGGTAAGATTTAACCCAACATATCCTTTACACATAAACCCTTTATAAAAGTTGTTTACTATATCAGCTTACATATAACATTTTTATTAGAATGCTTTCATACTTACATAATTAAACAAACAGTTTTAAAAAATGCATTTCAATACTATAATATTGTTTTAATATATCATAAGAACATACAAGTTTTTGTGTTTTTTTGTAAAACCATTAGGTTACTTTAAGTCCAAATGGGGCTGTTGTGGCCCCTTCAACACGGTATGAATGGACAAACACTTACATCTGACATAGTAACCTCCATAATTGGACAGAAGTATTCCATCAAAGCTAAGGCAAGTTGATACCATATAGAACACAGCTCACAGAAAGAACACTGGGAATCGTCAGTCTTTTCTTGACACGTATGTATACCTTGCCAAGGTGCTTTAATCATGTTCCTCATTATTGTTAAGGACTGCTGAGCTTCCTTTCCTTCTAACCCTTTGTGGGGTGACACTTCTTGTAACTCCAACTTAAAATAAAAACAAGTCAATAAATCAAATCATTATGTAAACAACAAAAATTCTTTGATTTGTATGATGTTTGGTATTTTAAAAAAAAGCTTAATCTTAAATACAGTGTACATTAAGTCTGCAACAGAAATTAAAGATAGTAACCAGTGTTACAACACTACTTGAAGATAACAACTGGTGTTACAACAGTACATGAAGGTAACAACTGGTGTTACAACAGTACATGAAGGTAACAACTAGTGTTACAACAGTACATGAAGGTAACAACTGGTGTTACTTTGATAAAATGACAGTTGTCCTGTGATTACAATTTCATAAAATGATTTGATAAAATGACAGTTGTCCTGTGATTACAACAGTTGTCCTGTGATTACAATCATTTTATCAAATTGTAATCACAGGACAACTGTCATTTTATCAAATTGTAATCACAGGACAACTGTCATTTTATCAAATTCTAATCACTGGACAACTGTCATTTTATCAAATTGTAATCACAGGACAACTGTCATTTTATCAAATTGTAATCACAGGACAACTGTCATTTTATCAAATTGTAATCACGGGTATATGTTGGTATATGATTGAACAAGATCTTCAGGACATTAGGTGACAGACTATATTACCTGTTTATAAAACACAGGTGTCACTGATTTATGTATGTTGGTATATGATTAAACAAGGTCTTTAGGACATTGGGTGACAGACTATATTACCTGTTTATAAAACACAGGTGTCGCTAATTTATGTCTGTTGGTATATGATTAAACAAGATCTTCAGGACATTAGGTGACAGACTACATTACCTGTTTATAAAACACAGGTGACACTGATTTATGTCTGTTGGTATATGATTATTTACGATCTTCAGGACATTAGGTGACAGACTACATTACCTGTTTATAAAACACAGGTGTCACTGATTTATGTCTTTTGGTATATGATTAGATGCAAGGTCTTCAGGACATTAGGTGATAGACTATATTACCTGTGTGTAAAACACAGGTGTCACTGATTTATGTCTGTTGGTGTATGATTAGATGCAAGGTTTTTAGAACATTAGGTGACAGACTATATTACCTGTTTATAAAACACAGGTGCCACTGATTTATGTATGTTGGTATATGATTAGATACAAGGTTTTTAGAACATTAGGTGACAGACTACATTACCTGTTTATAAAACACAGGTGTCACTGATTTATGTCTTTTGGTATATGATTAGATGCAAGGTTTTTAGAACATTAGGTGACAGACTACATTACCTGTTTATAAAACACAGGTGCCACTGATTTATGTATGTTGGTATATGATTAGATACAAGGTTTTTAGAACATTAGGTGACAGACTACATTACCTGTTTATAAAACACAGGTGCCACTGATTTATGTCTGTTGGTATATGATTAGATGCAAGGTTTTTAGAACATTAGGTGACAGTTTATATTAATTGTACACATGTTTTTTTATGATGTGTCAGTGAAGAAATCCTTTTGAATGAAATTTTACTTTTTGGTAAACCCTACTGGAGAAAACACTTAACTAATGCTTGTCTTCCTGTGTAATAGTATGTAGAATGGAAAGTAAACAAAGTGTATTTTTTATTTAGTGTAATCCAATCTTATCAGCAGTTAATAGAACATTTCAAGTTTATGCAATAATTAAAAAAAAATTGATCTGAGAGGATTTGATATTAAAGGTACAAAATAACTCGTTTCACAGCCTATATCTGTAACTTGTCTGTTTTCATGTTAGATTCCCTCAGAACCACTTGTATCAGAAGGATTTACAGGCATTTCTCCAAAGCATGCTAACAGAAAAAGTGACCCGAGAAAGATTAGTTCTCCTCTGTTTGAAAGAGAACAGAAGATAAATGAAGAAATTGTATCATTAGAGATTTTAAAGCCTAGTGAAGTTATCTACTCTGAGGAAAAATCATTGGACAGTCCAGGTGGAGACTCACTTCCACCAATCATGACTGCAGTGGTACAGGAGTGTGAAGCAGAACTGGATACGGTAGCTATAATGCCCACAGAGCAGGTGGTCACAGCCTATGCTCGAGCAGTTACTCTCACAGAGGATGACGTAGGTAAGTTTCTTCTACTGGACGCATAATAACGTGAAGAATACTTGTAGAGATGCCTAGAAAATAATTTAGAATTTCATTTCAACATTTTTAAAGGAGGTATTTTCATAAATAATGCCAGTTAACATTCTAATAAATCATTAATAACTTTATTATAAACAAGATCAATCAGAGAATTGCATACCCTCGCCACACTGCACCTTTTCAAGATTGCATTGCATTCATATTAGATGACGTCAAATTTCACCTCTGAAAACTCAGAAAATCCTTCTCAGATCAGAATGATCAGTAATCCAGACCTTTTTCTATAATGTGATGAGGAGTCTCAACCTTAATGTGCCCATGAAATTTGGCACAAGTCCGATCACACATTACGGAGTTATTAACCCAAAACTGCCCTATCTCCACATTATTAAGAAATGCTTCAAAGTGATCCGTAATCCAGATTTGGATCTGGACCAAATTTGGGGAGGACTGTTGTGTATGTTGGTTTATTAGTTTTCGAGATACACACGTGGAAACACAGATCCGATTGCAATACCTCCCCCGTTATTTGAAATATATACTGCTGTACATTTAGTATGACATTTTTGTTATTTTCAAATGCAGTTGTTTCAAGAGATATATTGTTGTATAAGTGTGAGACATCTGTTGAGGATGAAAGTTTTATAAACACAGACAAGGCTGACTCATTTATATTTATTGAAAAGTTCAACAGGCTTGTTTTTAACTTGTAAGGTGATATTTAAAGATTTTAGTGAATAATCTCAATATTGAAGAACCAGTTTTTATGTTAACAGAGAAAGTTTTAGTTATGTGTGTTCAGTGAACGCGACTTTCATTGAACTGTTAAAGTAACTTTTGCTTTAACCAATTTTTCCAGCGGTGGCTAAATGTAATGTCACGTCGGCCACCCTTGTAGACGAGAACGATCAGGCTGTAATGCAAGTGCAGGATGAAGATGATACATTTTGGCATACTTCGCAAGGAAAATTTAAATTCACCTTGGATGAGTTACCAGTTCAACTGCAGTTGTTGTATTTCATGTTGCAAGTAAGTTTTAATTCAACATATTTTCTTTTAATTGAAATTAGTGTTAATTTTTAGGTTAATATAATTTTGTAATATATTAAAACTGAAAGTCATCAGAAAGCAGTAGATTTGACTTTATTAGAATAAACTTAATACACATGAATGAAATTTCTAAAAATATTCACCCTAAAGTTTAAAAAAATAATTGCAGACTCTTATTGTAATCTCAGTGATGTTTTTAGTAGATATTGTAATGTTGGTATTAAAAGTAATCTGAAGATATCTTCAAATACGATTTTATGAGATAAATTACAGAATCTTAGTAAGCATTCTGATTTGTTTACACTTTTCAAGTTTGTAGATATTTATTGTATGTCTCAAAAAAAAAAGAATAGTCTATTAACATAGATGATGGAGACGTGTAAGAACCACTAAGTGTTCAGGAAATTGTAGACCACAGAATAAGATGTGCTTTTTTATATGATTGGGTTATTTTATTTTACTGTCAAGAATATGCTAGAAGGAGTAAGGTGCTGTTAAACAAGTCTGCAGATCTTGTATGTGGGTGAGGGATACTTTCCTCTCATTCACTGTGATGCCTCTAGACTTTTGTATTCTTGGCTTAGTGATTTCTATTGTAAATGACGGATGAGTTCCGAGGTGAGCGTTAATGATTACTCTTTATTTACCACTTATAAATGGTTCTGAGGTGAGCACTAGTGGTTACCCTTTATTTACCACTAATAAATGGTTCCGAGGAGAGCGTTAGTGATTACCCTTTATTTACCACTAATAAATGGTTCTGAGGAGAGCACTAGTGATTACCCTTTATTTACCATTAATAAGTGGTTCTGAGGTGAGCACTAGTGATTACCCTTTATTTACCATTAATAAATGGTTCTGAGGTGAGCACTAGTGATTACCCTTTATTTACCACTAATAAATGGTTCTGAGGAGAGTACTAGTGATTACCCTTTATTTACCATTAATAAGTGGTTCTGAGGTGAGCACTAGTGATTACCCTTTATTTACCATTAATAAGTGGTTCTGGGGAGAGTACTAGTGATTACCCTTTATTTACCATTAATAAGTGGTTCTGAGGAGAGTACTAGTGATTACTAATTATTTACCATTAATAAGTGGTTCTGAGGTGAGCACTAGTGATTACCCTTTATTTACCATTAATAAATGGTTCCGGGGAGAGTACTAGTGATTACCCTTTATTTACCACTAATAAATGTTTGGTCATGTTCTTAGTGTATTGTTTAACTTGTAGTCATGATGTGCATATTTCTCATATGCAAATTTCATATTTTCTATATTTGTCTATTAAATGACATTAGATCAGACATTTATTTTCCAATACACTGTCTTACCTCACCTCACAAATAGCGTTTTTTTCGACTTTTGTCCCTGTATATGGGCCAATTTTTTCTCACTACTACCCTTGATACTCCCACCTACCCTCACCTGTGTTCATATGTGACATCTGCATGTTATCATGCAGCAACCCTCCACCAATAGGAGTGTGACATAACTATCATCACTAGTGCCCTCTCTTCCATGCAACCCATTATCACTTCTCAATTGGTAGTCTCACTGTTATGATGTGTTTTTTGCTCGTGTTTTCTGACTGATAAATGTTTAGTTGATCATGTTTACTGTTGATTATTAGGCCATACATATTTTAACTGTATGTTTTTGAATTTTTACAGTTTGTGAAACTTGATAATTCCACTGGTTAGGTACTTTCAACTCCATGTAGTATCTACTGCAGCTACTATCACTACTACAGCTGATTTGTTGATGTCTGAGCAAGTTGTATCTGTTCAAGAAGTAATGGCTCTCTTCTTTGGGAGTTAGCTTATTTTATGCAGTTTTTGAGTCACCTGATGATTGTCCTCCTATCCCATTTGAGGGTTTGCCTAAACATATTGATGAGGACAGCCTGTTTTACCTTCCTGCATATGCCTCACATTCGTGTGCCCTGGCCTCCTTCCCTATTTCTAGACTGGTGGTTAATCTGGTGGTTATGTTTTATTCTTATTTCCCATTTCCTATGATTCTATGCCTTCCCTTCCCTGTGAAGAGTTCATGATTCAGTATTTAGTGTTTCCTCCCTTTCCAGATATTGGGGTTCATGTGAGTTGTTTTGGGGGACTAGTTGCGTTAAGGTGCCAGTATGCCTCGACCCTCATGTACTCTGGATGACTATGCTCTGGGTTATCATTGATTCTGATTTTCCCCATTTGGACTCGCAGCATTTGGAGTTGCTTGTCCCTTTGTGGGGATCTGACCTCAGTACTTTATTTTCATTTTCCCAGCCCCAATTTTACCATATTCGTTTCACACTGTCAATCCTTCTCTGTTCTTTGTCCTTCCTAAAAAAGGTGTTTGAGGCTATTCATCGCACCTCAAATGGGTTTTTTGAGGAGATTTGGACTCTCATGTTTTTCACATTAGTATGCCTCTCCTCTTCTGCCCTTGCTGTGCAAATGTGGTTGATCTGTTGTTGGAATCTTTTGGGTCGGTATGCCCTTTTGTCTTGGGTTATTTGCCTTCATCCTCATGGTGTGATTTGTGCATGGCATCTTTTCATTGCCAGGAGGTCTTTGGAGCATCTCGACTCTTTGGAGTCCAGGGTTGAGTCAGTCCGATTGCATACTTCCCTTTCCTCCATAGCTTACCATTTATCTGAAAATCCTTCCGTATCTGTTTCTGTGTCTTGCTCTATTGGTGGCTCTATATTGGCTGGCTCAGCTACAGTTTCAACTTCTGCACCAACTACTGGTGTTTCCTCTTCCTCTTTTCCACACCCTCCTTCATCAGCCCCAGTTCAGCATGTGTCATCCATCTGTTCCCACATTCAGGCTTCACACATGGCTTTTGCCTAGTCCTTGGTCTAGCAGGCTGAATTTTTGCAGCATGTGGTATCCTTGATTTCCCATTTTGTACATCCTTCCTTTATGGCTGTGTACCAAAGAAAGTGGTACACATACTGTAATTGGTCCATACACTGGGGTTATTCTACATCATGTCCGATCCTTCCACTTCACTTCCATTCTTACATGGCTCTTTGACGAGGGCCTTTGAGTCTTCTCCATCACTGGCTATTGCATGGATTTGTCAGCCACATTTTGTTTTAAACGTTATGCCTGTGTCTATAGGTTGCCAGTCCTGTCCCATTTATTCCCTCCTTATCACCCATCCTATTCGCTCTGCTTTTCTCCCTGATTAGAACCCCAGTGTCGTCCTTCATGCTCTTACACTTCCTCATTTTAAACCCTTGTCGACCTGTTCTTTATATCGTATCTCCTTGAAGACCTTTTTTTGTTCTCCTGTTGGTGTGTGGATGTTGTCAATCGAATGTGTTCACTATTGATGTATACCACACCTTGTTTCACAGTTCTTATGTGGTCCTCTTCCCTGATCGTTCTTTTATGCCCTAGACTGGGCTGCTTGAGAGGGTGATTCAGCCTTCTTACCTAGATACCTTTCTGCTATATCTCATCTTTATGAACATTCAGACTCCTCTGTCCGGTCAGGGCTATCTGCTGTTACATGGCACACACTGAATCCTTCCATGGTTCCCACTCCTTATTCTTTATTCATTGGAATCCTTCCCTGCCCCGTGACCTTTTTCCCATTACCCTTATAGCTTGGATTTGCCAGTTGATTCACTTGACTTGTTATTCCCTTTCTCCAGATGATTGTCATCTTTTCTATATATTTTCCCATCAAGTTTATCACCTAACCATATTCCTGGTTACTCATTTACATCATCCGTTGGAGGACATTATTAGCTTCGGTATGTGGACTACTCTCCATTCCCTTATTGCTCATTATCTTCATCACCTAGCTGTTTCTTCTATGAGGTTTTGTCTTCCTTCCATTGCCATTTGGTGATTCACAATGTCTCTGTGGGTAGGTAAGTACTCCTTTTTTTCTTCATTTTTTTTGCAGGGGCTTTTGTTTCATAGCTGTATCCTACTCGGGGGCGAGTGTTGCCTGACCAGGTACATTTATTCTTAAATCTGCACTGTAAGACCTGTGTTTCATATATGCCCACCTTTGAGATGGGATGTTCCGTAAGACCGCTTGTAGGATGCCTCATGGTATTTTGCTTCATAAATATGTTCATGGACTAATATGATTAAAGCAGACAGAGATTACTGACCATCCCAAATGATCCATGTATTGTAGGTCACATGATTGGCATGTTCATGGACTAACATGATTAAAGCAGACAGAGATTACTGACCATCCCAAATGATCCATGTATTGTAGGTCACATGATTGGCATGTTCATGGACTAACATGATTAAAGCAGACTGAAATTACTGACCATCCCAAATGACCCATGTATTGTAGGTCACATGACTGGCCTGCTTTTCAAATTAAGGTATCCATGTCACCCATTGCACCGTGTCTGGTGCAGAATTCTTCTGGACTTTCCAATGCACTGTCCCCCCCCCCCCCATCTTCCAGTGGTGTATGGGAGTCCTTGCCTCTTACTTGCTCTTAGCTGCTGGGGTGGTGGACCCATGGAGGCTTCCTCCTGGGTGTGGTCCCTCCTATTTAGTTGAGAGTAGGATGGTGGTGTTTTGCCAATGTAGATGGCCTTGTCATTCTTCCTATCAACCCCTGGTTGTTGGTTCCTGGCAGATATGGTGATGGTTAGAGCTGGATCAGCTATATAAGTTCTCACATGTGTGTGGCCGGGTGTCCTCCTCCCACTGCGAGCTGGACAGTATGTTCCCAATGCTGTCTGGTGATGGACTGGAGATGCACCACTACTTTGCTGTCCACCTTTCTACCATCCCTTAGCTGTCGTTTCCTGGTGGATATGATGATGGTTATGTTGGATGTACACACATGAGGATGCAGATCCTTGGTAAGGAGGCTCATCTTCCCTACCAGTTCCCATATCAGAGGTGAAAGGTATAGGACCCTCTTCCTACCTTGGGCCAGTTATTCTTATCACAGTTTCCTTTGTGATCCAATGAGCACCAGCTACTTTACACCTGGGGTCCCTTAATTTCACATGTGTGTAGCTGGGTACCCTCCTCCTACTGCTGACTGGATGATACACCCCAATTTACTGTCAACCTTCCTACCATCTTCCAATTTGGGTTCCTGGGGGATATGGGGATGGTTGGATTGGATGAGCACATGTTTCTGCTGGGGAGGTCCATCTTTTGTTTCTGCCCTTGTTATGACACTTTTTCATGTGGGAAAAGAGTATACCTAGCTTAGAAGTGGTTTGGTCTCCCATGGGTGAGTTGACTTCCTTTTATTTGCACATCCCCATGGTCTTCCTTTGGGTGCTTTCTAAAGGGGGATCATTATCTCACTGGACCCTCTGCCAACTCAATGTGGGATTCTAGCTATTTGTGAAAGGAGGTAAGATATCTTATTGGAAGTTAACATTTTCGTAAACTGAAAATGTATTTCCGATAGATACTTATCTCCGTCACATTTCCCACCTGCCCTCCTCTCTTCTAGTGTTAGTTGGTATGTTACTGACCAATCTCGTAGTGATTACGGGATGCATGGAAGAAAGAGTGCTAGTGATGTATTATTGTGATGATAACATAAAGTTGTTTGCAGCTTTATCTCTGGTAATAACATTTTTACGTGTGTCTGTAAGGAATATCTTGTTGATCGGAAATGTAATTATAATTATAAAAAGTATTTTTTTCAGTATGTGTTCTCCATTTTTTACATTACTTTAATACAATACCTGGAGATACACCTTTTCCATGTTTAGAAAGATTCCACTTTATTCTTATACACTTGCGTGATTTGGAACTTTAGGATTGTTGTTTGTATTAAGCACAAAGCTGCACAACGGGCTATCTGTGCTCTGCTCACCATGAATATTGAATCCTGGTTTATAGATGTATAAGTCCACAGACATACTGCTGTGCCATCAGGGGGTGGAACCTTAGGAAATACTATATATATATATATACGGTGTTTAGATAACTGGTAAACACGTTATGTATTGTGTTTTCAGGAATTAGCTAACTTTGATGATCCAGATGTTCTCTGCCATTTGCTTTCTTGCCTGAAACTGATGTGTCTTCATGCTGAAGTCCTGAACAAAGCAGCTCAGGACCACAAAGGCTTCTTAATATGGTGTCAAGAAAATCTTCTTGTTGAGAGGTGAGTGTTTATTGAAGATGTGGATGTTCACTACTACTTGATTTCTCTCCTGATATGTGTGTGTGTTCTCAGGCTAAAGTTCTGAAAAAAACTGCTCAGGATCACAAAGGCTTTTTAATATGGTGTCAAGAAAATCTTCTTTGTAGGGGCCATTGTTTTTTGATTATTCCAGTTTTCTCTCTTTTGAGATTTATTGACTGAAAGAACAAGAAATGAAGTGTAAGTATAGTATGGGATAAATTCAAAACGTGTTAGTTTCTGAGCATTTTTTGTTGCTGTTAAAATCAACATACTGTATATAGGAACTGTTTTATATTATTTTTGTCTTGAATTTTTAAATTTAATAAAAACTTTTGCTTTGTGCTACATTTTGGAAACCTTTCGAAATTTGCTAGAATAAAGTTGTATTTCGAGAACTGTATGTAAATTGAAGTAATTCACTACAGACCTTTCAGAGTTAAACATTGTAATGTATCTCAATAACTGTAGAAATTGTAGTAGATCACAACAAACCTTCCAAATTTCAACACTCTACAGTTGTATCTCAAAGAACAATCCATAAATCCCAGTGGATCACATTGTTGGAAGATACAGTGGACTCTTATAAAGAGCTGGACACATTATTGGAAGATACAGAGGATCTTTATAAGTTGTGTTATAACATGTACCTAACTAGCTGTATCCACAGTTGGAAGATACGGAGGACCCTTATAAGTTGTGTTATAACATGTACCTAAGTAGCTGGACACATTGTTGGAAGATACGGAGGACCCTTATAAGTTGTGTTATAACATGTACCTAAGTAGCTGTACACATTGTTGGAGGATACGGAGGACCCTTATAAGTTGTGTTATAACATGTACCTAAGTAGCTGGACACATTGTTGGAGGATACGGAGGACCCTTATAAGTTGTGTTATAACATGTACCTAAGTAGCTGTATCCACAGTTGGAAGATACAGAGGACCCTTATAAGTTGTGCTATAACATGTACCTAAGTAGCTGGACACATTGTTGGAGGATATGGAGGACCTTTATAAGTTGTGTTATAACATGTACATTAGTAGCTGGACACACATTGTTGGAAGATACGGAGGACCCTTATAAGTTGTGTTATAACATCCACATTAGTAGGTGGACACATTGTTGGAAGATATGGAGGACCCTTATAAGTTGTGTTATAACATCTACATTAGTAGCTGGACACATTGTTGGAAGATACAGAGGACCCTTATAAGTTGTGTTATAACATCTACATTTGTAGCTGGACACATTGTTGGAAGATATAGAGGACCCTTATAAGTTGTGTTATAACATCTACATTAGTAGCTGGACACACATTGTTGGAAGATACAGAGGACCCTTATAAGTTGTGTTATAAAATCTACATTAATAGCTGGACACATTGTTGGAAGATATGGAGGACCCTTATAAGTTGTGTTATAACATCTACATTAGTAGCTGGACACACATTGTTGGAAGATACAGAGGACCCTTATAAAGAGCTGGACAAATTATTGGAAGATACCGAGGACCTTTTTAAGTTGTGTTATAACATGTACCTAAGTAGCTGTACACATTGTTGGAAGATACCGAGGACCTTTTTAAGTTGTGTTATAACATGTACCTAAGTAGCTGTACACATTGTTGGAAGATACGGAGGACCCTTATAAGTTGTGTTATATCGTCTACATTAGTAGCTGGACACATTGTTAGAAGATACAGAGGACCCTCATAAAGAGCTGGACACATTATTGGAAGATACCGAGGACCTTTTTAAGTTGTGTTATAACATGTACCTAAGTAGCTGTACACATTGTTGGAAGATATAGAAGACCCTTATAAGTTGTGTTATAACATCTATATTAGCAGCTGGACACACATTGTTGGAAGATACAGAGGACCCTTATAAAGAGCTGGACACATTATTTGAAGCTACAGAGGACCCTTATAAGTTGTGTTATAACATGTACCTAAGTAGCTGTAGACATTGTTGGAAGATACAGAGGACCCTTATAAAGAGCTGGACACATTATTGGAAGATACTGAGGACCCTTATAAGATGTGTTATAACATGTACCTATGTAGCTGTAGACATTGTTGGACGATACTGTATAAATCGTGGTTGAGATTCTTTTGTGTCAACAAGATATTATTATTTGTAACATATATTCAATGTACAATAAGCCTTTCCATAAAGATATATAGTATTTATAAATACAGGTTTTGTTCAACTTTGACATGATTCATTTTTAACTTTTCTGGTAGCATGTGGAAGCTTCTGCAAACAGAGTTTTCCCACATATCCCAGATTGCTGTCCCGTTGCTGTTACATTGTGTTACACTACCCTCTGGTGCTGACATGTTTTGGAAAGCTGTTGAAGAAGGCTTTCATAGTAAAAGCTGGAGGACAAGATTTGCTGCAGGTAACAAACGTTTAGAGAATGTACCTCAGTTCGATTAATTTAACGAAAAAGCTTCTTTTTAGTTTATAGTTTTTAGATAATTGTCTTAATAATAAGTTGTGCTAGAACCATTAGCAGCCATGTACCCTAAATAAAATACTTGCTTTTTAAAGTTGACAGTGTATTTAATTATGTTATAGGGTTATTATTAATTTCTATAAAGACCTACGTGTTTTTCTAGCATCATGAATATTTAATTATGTTAATATTAGTTAGATTTTCAACAACTTCGTATGTTTACAGTTTGACTTGATAATGTACGAGTTTTGCTGGTTAAACTTTTTCTGGACGTTTCTTACTATTTTACTTTGTGCTGGGATAATGTTTTGGGCTCCATGCTGAATCCTTCTTTACAGATTGAGTTCACTTACATGGACTGGTCCTTCTTGACAGACTTATTCCATCATACTGAGTCCTTCTTTACAGATTTGAAGGACTCAGCATGGATCCAAAAACATCATTGCAGTACGTGTAAAAATGGCAGAAAATGCCCTCAAAAATTTGAACCACCAATTATAAAGCACTGCCAAAATCCAACTTAAAAGAATATATGAGATTTTGTTTAAAAGTACTTCTGGGTGCAGCATCCAAATCAAATTGCAATGTGGTGAATTCTTTAAAATGAGACAGAACATTTCCACCAATAACACCACAGGAAACAATATGGTTGATGTATTTTTGAAATTTAAGCAAAATGTGGACAAAAGCTTGGTTTATTGAAAACTGTCAACAGAATATAGGATTGAAAGACCAACGTAAAGGTAATCTTAGTTTGTGTCCCCAGTGCTCATTATGAAACAATGTTTTTCTCCATCCCTGATATTAACATTTGTCCATTTATACGTGAAAAAAGTGAGTTAATGCAAACACTGGTGGTAATACGATTAATATCATAATAAAAATATTACTTCTAGACTATAATATTTTAATGCCATATTATGCCCAAAATAACACTGATTTGAAAAGTCAGCTCGAGCATTGATCAGTCTGCTTGAAATAATTCCTGAGTGATCAAAAATAAGTTGAAACGTTAACAAGTTATGGTTAGGTGTTTGATAATTCAAGGATAAGCCTACCATACAGATGTAGTGACTGAAAGAAACAAGACTCAGAGTGAAGTTGAAATGTTAACAAGTTATGGTTAGATGTTTGATAATTCAAGGATAAGCCTACCATACAGATGTAGTGACTGAAAGAAACAAGACTCGGGGTGAAGTTGAAACGTTAACAAGTTATGGTTAGATGTTTGATAATTCAAGGATAAGCCTACCATACAGATGTAGTGACTGAAAGAAGGAAGAGTCGAGGTGAAGTGGAAATGTTAACAAGTTATGGTTAGATGTTTGATAATTCAAGGATAAGCCTACCATACAGATGTAGCGACTGAAAGAA